AACTATCAGTTCTCGCCTCGTTAAAAACCTGGTCCTTTTCGTAAAATTTTTGCATTTACACAAGTAGGACATGAAAACAAAAACACAGTCATACAACCAAGATGGAAATGCTTGATAGTAGTCCGATAGCAAACGGTCCAAAATAACCTTTGGTAAACGTTTCCAAAGGGACAAAGGCTATGTGAAGCGTTAACTGTTACGCGTTTAATTCGAGACTTTGGGACTGCAAAAGTCGTCACTCAATTTATACCGATAGAGAAGTTTTACGTCGGTTTGGCAGATCCATGTTGATTGCAGAGTGGCTTGAGTTAATCATTAAACCATGATTTGAAACATAACAGAGCATTCGATGCAAAAAAGTAGTTAATTCAAAATTGAATAAAATCTGGGAAAAATAACACGCCAACTCGACGGATGGCTATGACACTGATCAATATCTAATTTACAATATATACCAGGTATAAAGATCACAGATAGGTATCATTATTTCAATACATACACGAGGAATGTAAGAGAACAATTCGTCAGTCTTTTTAAATTAAAAATTTTGTTATCGAATAATACGATGAGCTGAGTTTCGAACGGGTGGTTTGAGTTTGGGATCCTTGCCACGTTCATGTTGGAAGTTTGTTTGCGAGTTCGTTGTTACAATCGTTTACAAACATCTCTCGAGCGAAATCGTTTGGATAGAACTTGTGACACGTTTGCAAATATTTCACGGGCTTTAATCAGGAATATTTAACTAAGGAATTTCAGCTTGAGGTTTGCATTTCATACAGCTAGGGTCCAACTTGAAAAAATCCTGAAACTGCGTTCTTAAAATTGATGCTGTTCACATATCGCATGGCAATAATAAGAAATCTATTGAATGCAAAGAAAACTCTGCTACAATTAATTAAAACAAAATATTTCATCATCGGAGCAGTAGTTTATATGACTTTTGGCCTTATTAGTATGCTCATATATGTTGTCCCTCAATGGTGTATTAGTGAGTTGACTCTTCATTTCTTCAAAATTTACATAATATTTTAGGAAATAAAATGAAACCAATTTCCCAGCAGTTTTATCAAGAGTCAAGGTAACGATCACTGAAGTTCGATGCGCATACCTAGAGCTTGAAGATTTGGTGATTGAAATATGTTTGAATTTTTATTTGTCGATCTGTTTTGCAGTATATGATGCACAGGAATTTTTATCCCTTTTTAATCAAAATCTAATTTCCAATGCTGTGAAGCACAATGTTAGGGGAAGGTGGAGAAATTCGGAACACCGCCAAATTTCGCCGCAAATGAATAGTTTGAGACATGTGAACAACTGTCATCGTTTTCTCTAAACAAAACCTCATATTTCCATTAGCACTCGACAAGTGTGTACGTACTGTTAGCTCTGTGCGTCATCAACATGAAATCAAGTCATGAAAATTTAATATTGAGAATGCCTGTCTGCATTGATTCCATAACATTTTTCGAAAAATCAACTCAGACGAATATGTTTATAATTATCGTATACCATTAATATTTCGACTCACAAAAGGAATTTTGCATGAAAATTCATTGACTGACCAAAACACGATTACAGTAGAACCTCGATTATCCGTCATGCACCGGACCAGCGCATTGACGGATAATCGAAAAAGACGGATAATCGAGACTTTCATATAAATATAACAAAATAATCAAAATTTCCATACTTTCTAATTAGTTTATGATGAAAAACAAGGTGATGTAAAAAATATATAATAGATATGAGAACAGATTTGGTGCATTGTCCAAAATATTGGACAATCTTGTATATACGAGAAGTGTACCGAAAACGGCCTCTGATTTCAAATCTTATTTTGCGAATGTACAAGGGGCACACAATTGATTTTGATTATGAAAGTTAGTTGGCAACTTTATTCGTATGTTCAAGTGAAATAAACTGAAAAATGAACTGAAAAAAACTTTTCCACCTTGAAAAGGTGTGACGGTTAACGGAGGTGACGGATAATGGGAGGACGGATAATCGAGGTTCTACTGTATGTTGTAAACCTTAGTGAGTGGGGAATTTCGGAACGCCCTATATACGAAAAATTCATCAAGTGATTTTTAATACTTTTCAAGTTGATATCGCTTCTTTATGCATATTTATTTTATTTCATGCAAAATTTTGGCAAAATACTCATTTCAATTTATGCGATCGAGCTGTCCACTTGAAATGCACCAAAACGATTGGAAGCTATTTCACAGGCAACAATTACAGATCCGACTAACAACAATCGCTATTTTTGAACTTTTCCCCCATTAAAATTAATTCTTCTGTCTTTTCCTAGTACTCCATAAACGTTTCGCATCAAAATTGTTTCAGTTTTCTATCTATTTATGAAGTGTTCCGAATTTCCCCACCATTTTTGAAAATCGCAAAATCAAGGGTTTTTTGCCAACATTTTTTCAACCGATTCGAGTTTCAACGAGCAACAAGTGCCAAAAGTTAGGATTTTACATTTACTAAGTCGTACCACTTTAGAATTTGGAAAAATGTTAATTTTTTAGAAAGTTATTAAATTATTTCGATGTGTGTTCCGAATTTCCCCACCTTCCCCTATTATATTCAACAGATCCAAAACCTTTCAGAGTTCTGTTTGTCCCTATCGGAAGTTCACTAATATGAATCATGAATGACGTTTGAAATGCCATTTTTGACAAATACCATTTCCAATATTTGGGTAAACCTTGTGACGAAATCATTTAATCAAATTTCCAAACTCTACCGTATAGATGCCGCTAGAGCATCATTTGCTGCATATCTTCCATTTACGATTCATGTTGTTGCTAATTTCACAGCTCAATGCCAACGAAATTTTCACATCACTGCTGCGAAAAGTGAACGAATCGATCTACAAAACAATCGATTTAATCAAAGGGTGTTTGTCATTGATGGAGAGCCAACTTGTTAATATGTATATCATAAAGTTGATAGAAGCGATAAATAGGCCAGAATTTGTGAATGGTGCTTTAGTATGTGCCGGATTTAGTGTCATTGGTTTTTTGTTTGGCGGTTTGAATGGCTTTGTCATCGGGCTTATTCTGGCTGAATTGTTCCTTCAAGGAATTTCACAATACCCGAATGGTATGTAATGATTGATTCTAATATATGAGAAAGAGTCAAATACATAAAATGCAATTTAACCTCTTCAGTTTCTAGGGTAGAATATGTTTGATTTGATCTATTAGTATCAGTATACAGTTTGTTTAACAATTAGTATTTTGTTTTTAAAACTCAACATAATAATTGAATAGGTTCAACAGCTCTTGGCGATGCAATTATAGACAATTTGGGGATACCACAAACTCAAACCCACTGGTTGAACCTATTTGGTACTGTTTACAAGTTGGAATTGCCAAAAGAGGATATTTCAACGTTGCAGCAATGGGAAGAGCACAAAAAACAGCCGTTTTCCAAAGTTTCTTTTCTTTTATACGCGATGAGTTAAGGCTCAAGGTATCGGAGTTGCATGTGAAACTAATCGTTCAGAAGATTCAACTCAAAATCGTTTGATTGAATCAACAGACTCCAGCCAAACAATAATTCTAAATAAAAAATAGGGTTTTTGTGTAGCAAATTTATTTTAATTTCAGAATATTTCTTAAAAGTCCAATAATATTCCTCTTGATGCTGAATCAAACAATGTGAACTAACATAATTTTGGCATTTACTTTTAAACTCTAACCATATTTTGGATGAGTTCGTTGATCAAGCGCATTGACAGCAAATAAACGTTCTGTCACTTGCTCATTGAACGTTTATTCAACGAACTCATCCAAAATATGGATTTAGTATAGCACTTTTGTGTGTTAATGAAACAAGTACTGCGTTGGTTGATGATATGAACCGATGGACAGAGTCCAATCGGTTCGTTACGTGTTATTTATTCAACATTCAAATGAATACTCTTCGCGCGTCACTAAATGGGACTGAGTGTATACGGATACCGCTGGGCGCATTGTGTGTATGTATATCGCACAGACTCGGGCGATGCGTCGCTGCGTCATCTCATCCAGCTGAATTATCTCGTTCAGTTATCCTATGAGATTCTGACCAGCAAACGTATGAGTGTTTCAGAATTTTTTTTTCACAAAATTCCACCTGGATTCAATAGTTGGGCTCAAATGATGACGATTGGTGCAATATAACTTCCCCCAGTTCACAGGGCGGTTCCCCAGGAGCCCCCAAAGTACGAAAAATCGGCGATTTTCGAAAATCTAACTTCTAAACGGCTGGGAATTTTGCTATACTCTCTTCTGAAAAGTTGTAGATCTTGACGAGATAAGAAACATAAACATGTCACCCCCAAAAAACCACCCCTTCACTTTAAAAACCACCCTTGAAAATAGGTAAATTTTAAGTCGCCCTAAAACTCAAAGGGGTGGTTTTTTGGGGGTGACATGTTGAGCAATGTTTCTTATCTCGTCAAGATCTGCAGCTTTGCAGAAAAGAGTATAGCAAAATTCCCAGCCGTTTAGAAGTTAAATTTTCGAAAATCGCCGATTTTCCGTACTTTGGGGGCTCCTGGGGAACCGCCCTGTGAACTGGGGGAAGTTATATTTGCACCAATCGTCATCATTTGAGCCCAACTATCGAATCCAGGTGGAATTTTGCGAAAAAAATTCTGAAACACTCATACGTTTACTGATGAGAGCGATATCGCAATCACTGCATTCTACTGTTCATACCACATGAGTATAAAAATAAATGCCAAAATTATGTTAGTTCGCATTGTTTGATTTCTAGCAAATATTCTGATTTTAGAACAAATTTGCTACACAAAAACCCAATTTTTGTGTAGAAAGATGTTTACTACACAAGTATAGGAGAAAAACACCACAGATAATCTGTGTGTGTAAAAAAAATCATAAGTCAATCTTAACATTTCTCAAATAAAAAAAACTTGAAAAAATGTTTTTGAATATGTGTCACAGTAGGCTGACTGAAACGTTAGATTTTTGTCAGTTATATTTCAAGTCAAATCAAATGATCAGTGAAAAATGGAATTTTGGAATTGGTTGCGTGAAACTGTGCTTAGCATTTATGGGCATTCACCATATGGTCGGATTATTACATTATTCACTGGTCCAGCCACTCGAAGTGTACAAGTTGGCTCACAGCGTGGCATTAACATTCAGAGTTCACCAAATATTATGAAAACCGCTTCAATTTGCGCTGTTATCAGTTTTGTTGGTGGCGTTTTTTGTGGTCCAATAGGGCTAGCTCTTGGTGGATTGGTTGGTGGATTAACCGCTTTCGGAATAACTAAATGGCACAATAGTACGCATTTCCTTAATGTTAGAACGGATGAAGAATGAAAACAAAGTTTATTAGTCCTAGAAACGCATTAAACAAAGTAGTTCAATGAAATCACACAGTAGCCATTCAACGCAACAGTTTCATTTCAGTTAAATTTGTCACTAGACGTGGCTTTTGGTCATAAATAGATTTTTTTGCATCACACTCGGCTATGAACATACTTCTTCATACAAATCGTTTAGACTTCACTCGTACTGCAGCACTTATGACTTTCTTGCCTACCATGGGAGGTATTTTTGGAGGACCGATTGGAGTTGTTGTCGCTGGTATTATCAGTGCATGGACCGCTTATACACGTGGCGATTGGTCAAATATAACAGGAAAGAGCAACTGGACAGAACTTACTTTCTAACCACCGAACTAAAACCTGAAAATGCTGAAGAAAAAAGGAAAGGTCTAGGTTCTCACAGCATGATGAAAAAAACAATGAATGCAAGTGCTGACAAGCCACACATTGACGCATGTTTAATGAACGAAACCTTTTTGTAAAAACTCAATATGTAAACAATTTTGCAACGCCAATAAAAATTAATTGTTGAAAGAAGCGCCAAAGGCAGAGATTGTTTGGCGGATTTTTTATGAGGGAAGTATGTGACCTGTCTGAAATTATTATATAAATTTTAGATGTAGCTGAACACTGCATTTTCTTATGTGTCACTTTACTCCTATGAAACTATAGAATGTTGTCTTATCTGCAGATTCTTCTCATTTTGTGGCTGGGAGATCTGTTTTACTAAGGATAACATTTGAAATCATATTGTATTTCGTATGATCAACAATTGCCATTCACTCAGAAAGGAATTAATACGATTCACATATACCAATGGTGATCTGTCAAATTACCATCATTACCATTGGCGAGAGTGGCGATTTTGTATGTATTGTATCTGCTTATATATTACTATGTCACAAAAATGTATCGGTAGTAGTATGGTCATATTACAACCAATACCACTTTGTTACACAGTAATATCGCACAGCAGATCAGATACAATACATACAAAATCGCCACTCTCGCCAATAGTAATGATGGTAATTTGACAGATCACCATTGGTATATGTGAATCGTTTTAATTCCGTTCTGAGTGAGCATTCACTTAAAAAAGCCATTTTGTATTTTAGGCCACAGAGAGAAATAGAATTCGAAATAGTTTTATTGTATGATAGTGGATTATCATGTTCCGTCTGATCCATTGTAGAATCCATCCCCAATAATTTATTCTTATGACTTCGTGTTCAACCAGTTCGTTTAGCTCACAAGCACACACTTTCACAAAAGTAATTTGGCTTGAATTTGACTCATCTGCATGCGCTATAATCGGCTTAGTTTTGCATGTGTTGCTTTGTCTTTGCTCATTATATACTCAACAAGTGACAGATTGTTTTGAAAGTCGGTGCATAAATACATACGCACGCATAATACCTAATTGCTTTTTCGCTTTGCAGCAATACAATTTGCCATAACATCCGAACATCTCATTGGTCCTTCGGCGTTTGTGTGAACAACAACTGTTATTCTTTGAGCGAAAAACGATTTTGCGACAGTATTCATATTCATCTTCAAATACTAAAAAAATTACTCAAAAACCAAGAACTTCATCTCAATTTTTGATTCATTTTGTTCACAATTCATGAAATGGCTGGTGTGTTGAAGAATACCGCTGCTTCCGAAGCGTGTGAAAAACTATACCTCAACGAAGAATTTGCTGATGTTCATTTTGTGTTCAACGTCGATGATGAGAGTGAAAAGGTTCCGGCAAACAAAGCCATTTTAGCGGCTCTCAGCCCAGTATTCAAAGCGATGTTCTTTGGGTCGTTGAAAGAGGGAAACGAAGTTCCAATTAAAGATGCAGATGCCGACGCATTCAAGGAGTTTTTGCAATTTTTCTACCTATGTGGGGTGAGTCACCCATGGTCAGGAAAATATCGAGACCGTCGTTCGTTTGGCCGACAAATACGATGTCCTCGAACATGTCAATGCGTGTGCCGTGTTTCTCAAACGTGAACTAACACTGGATAATATGTGCTTTGGCTATCAATTGGCGCTGACTCTCAAAAATGAAGAACTGATCAAGTTCTGCGAGGGCAAAATCATCAATTCGCCGAAGGGTGTTTTCGCCACCGACGCATTTAAACGCTGTGACAAAAGTACTCTGAAGTGAATTCTGGAGCTGGATTTAGTTTGCACAGAAGCCGATGTATTCTATGCATGTCTGGTGTGGGCCAAACACGCATGCGAACAAGACGATTTGGATGCAACGCAAGCGGTGAATTTGAGAACTCAACTCGGCGATTGTTTGAAGTTAATTCGATTTGGCTCAATGACAAACGATGACTTTTGCCAATGTTACGTGTTACATAGAGGATTATTCACCTCGGAAGAGTTCGAAGATATTATGTTGTCGTTAACAATGAAGGAATATAAACCGAAAATATTCAATCCAGTTCCAAGACTCGGGATCTTCATATGGGATGCAAGTAATGTTTTGCCATGTCAGCGGGAAACTGAAACGTTTTCGCGCAAGGATATACAAACTCAAGAAGTAACTACGTTTTCATCGAATAATCACGTACTATTGGGAGAAATTCACACTGCATGCACATACAAAGGTCAAGCTATCAATGAAATAGTCGGAACTGAGGTCAAAGTAACTATCACCGAACGCGAGAACCTTACATTCCAATCAACTGTGTTGCCAAAAGTTCTTCATGAAGATACTTCTATAACGTGGTTTGGAATTTTTAAGAATCAGCTGAAGGTAACGTTGTCACATCCAATTTTGATTAAGCCACAAAGAATTTATGAAGTTCGTTTGGGAGTTCGATCATCCGATGGAAGCTTTTACTACTCAGACTCTCGGCCAATGGTGGAAATGAATGATGGGACTAAAATTCAGTTTCATCGAAATCCATCTCTGGACTACGATAATCTAACGAATGGATGGATTTCTAAATTGATCTTCAACAAAATTTAAATTTGCAATAAGAATATATGAAGAAGAACAATTGAATAATAAATAAACGTGACATGAGATGGAAACATTCTCAGTGGTCGTTAACAGTAAAGTCAATCGACATTGTAAAATAAGGATTTTTTTATTTGTTTCTTGACTTCAGATTTGTTTGTCGAACGATTCTACGATGTCAGCTCAATACACGGTCAAAATGTATATGCACCAAAAGTTGTTGAAGCTAAAAATTGCATGCACTAAATGAGGACTCGCTGATGAAAATCTTGGACGAAAACTCACGATGAATGTAATTTATCTTCCTGCTCATTTTTAAAGTCTGACCAAAGTGAACCAATTGAGACGTTTATAATGAAATCATTGTCGAATTATTTGCAAAAATGGAACCACAATAAATCTATATTTGAATTGTGTTCAATTTATAATATAAAATTAACAAATTTAAGCTTCTGGTTTGCAAGTCCTGCAGCTAGGCTCGAACATGAAAATGTGCTGAAATCGCTTCTTCAAATATATGCTGTTCACACATCGCATGCTACGAACCAAAGATGCAATCAAACCATATAACCATAAAGTCGTTTACAAGAAATATTGGTTCTTTTTTTTGCATCACCGACGAAGAAATGGATGAAAAAATGGCTGTTAATGTGTTTGAACAAGGTCAACAGCAAATACACAACGCACTAATATTCTGGCCACCAAACACAAGACCTGTCTCACATGCTTTCTTTATTTCGACGTGATAATTTTATGATTCTGGTCGCAAAAAAGAAAGCCAGCAAAAGGAAGTAACGAAGAGAAATGTGGAAAGAAACCCCAAAGGCAGAGATTGTTTCGCGGAATATCCATAAGTAAAAAATGTGAACTTTCTTATGAAAAATGGGATGAAGAGCCCGAGACAATGTAGTCCGTTTCATAATTCTACACACATTCTAGATGGAAGCAGTTTAACGAAAATTGTGTTTTTAATTATTGAATTTCAGCATGTACATTGCTAAAATTGGGGCATTATTTGAATCAAATACATAAGCCAAGCCAAGCAATGAACATATTTTCGATCGGTTGACTGTAGTCGTAAATTGCAATTCATCCCAGAGTTTGCTACTTTTCAAGAAAATTCAATAGAATGCGCTGTGAATAGTTCAGTTTGTCTCCTCAGCACGGTATTCCTTTCGGTTTCCCTTGCGTTTGTTTATTGTTGTGTGTTTTTTTCGGCCTTCGTGTTGCTGTTTAAGCAAAATGTGGCTGATTGAGTGCGCCTGCTGTGCATACGAAAGAAATGCAACACCAAAAGTTACCGTTGACGACATTATTTATGAGTATGTCGTGTATGGAGTCGTCACTTCGGTTTCATTTCCATCTTCAGGATTGAGACGTCCCGCGTGACAACATGTAGAGTTATTCTTTACTCAGCCGGACTGAGCTGGACTGAGCAGAGTATTTAAAGTGAAAATCCGTGGTGAAACAAAACAAAGAGCCTCAAATAATTGTAAACAGCAATTTGTGACGGTAACCCACATTTTCTTTGAGTGATCGGTGTGCGTTGGTTTGGTTTCCAGTTGAAGCGATACCAATTTGCGATTCGATAACGTCGGTCGGACGATGGCAAAAACGAACCTATCGAAATTACTTTTTGCGGAGAGCAAACGAAGATGTGATGTACTATGATGGTTTTTGTTACATTCTCTTCTTGTTATTAAGTTTTTCGTGTGCCTATTTTTAAGCGTTGCCTTTTCCAAGTTTCTTATCTTTGCCTTTGCTAAATGCAGCTCCAATATCCCCGCCCATTTGCAGCTAAACTATATTTAAGGAAGATGATATGCACAGAAATGCGTCAGTCTCATTTCAGTCTTTGCCTGAGCAGTTCGTTCTTGTTCTTCCATTTGTTTTTACTGATAGTTTCGAACAACGAAAGTTGCAACCGACTTACCTGTCTTGAATTTTGTGTCGTCTTCTATTTACTTGCGAAAAATATTTTATTGCCAAAATGGTTGTGAGCAGTGAATTGGATTCATCATGCCGTCGTGCTCGAACTGCATTCAACCGTGAGCAGTTGACAGTTTTGGAAAAGGAGTTTGATAAGGAAATGTATTTACAGCCATCACGTCGCCGGGAATTGGCCATCCAACTAAAAATTTCGGAATCAACTATTAAGGTGTGTTTTTGTTTTTTTCTGTTCTGTTCATAGCAATAATTCAAAGATAGTGCGAACTTATTCGATGATTTCGTCGGAAATATTACGCCAACCATGGAGCTCTTGTTCGCAAATATCGTTTTTTTTGTGCCTAGTGTCATATGTTCGATTAGTGTCTTATTAATATTTGATTTGCAATTTGCAATATGTAATATGCAATTTTCAACTTTACTAATGAACGCATATCTTTTGTTTAATTCAATAGGTTTGGTTTCAAAACCGACGCATGAAAGACAAACGCCAACGCCAACTCAATTGGCCAATCAAAGCTGTTTATAACGATCCAACATTCGCTGCTTCGTTGCTTCAAGCAGCGGCCACTTCAGTCAGCATGCCATACTACGTTCCAACCCCAATAATCCCACAAATACCGATAGTCACTCCATTGACCCAAATCCCATCGGCTGCCGTGAATGCTTACGCATACGGCTACCGGTACTCTCCATACCAGATACCGCAACGAAACTCAACAAACATTTCAGCTCATTCACACGCATTACCTTCAACGACACACCCAAGTGGACCCATATTTATGAGAGGTTATCTTGGGAATGGTTTGAACGACTCATTTGGAAGTGATTATTTAAAAAGTCCAAGCTCACCAATATCGCTACTATCTGTGTCACCTGTATCCGAACCAAATCCACGAGATGCGCTTCATCGAATCAGTCACCATAAAAACAGCCACAATAACAACAACAATATTGGCGAAACAACGATAATCAAATTGGAGATGCCAAAATTATTCAAACCATACAAATCAGAAGAATAAAGTCGCGAACATTTCTTCAATTTCAACATTTATCACATTTACATGGTTCAAAATCCCGGTTCTGTAAATATTGTACACAGCCCCGTCTATTGTAAATATTGTTTTTAAGAAATTATCCGTTAAGTGTTTGTTTTATTAAAATTACAATATATTGGCTCTCATAGAGTTCTTGTTTCAGAGAAACATCGATTTCATTCGAAAAGAAATCGGAAAATCAATGAATAAATCGAAAATTACACATAAATCGTAACATGTTTGAATCATTTGTTTTTGGTCTCTTTTTAATTTATCTTCGTTTTCAGGAGCATTCTCCGTTTGAAACGCTCTTGCGTCTCTGTATGTATTCCTTTTGCCGAATTAATTTCGGTTCAATTACAAATGCATCCCGCAAATTCTATTTGAACAATATTTTGTCTTTGAATAGCAACAACTGCAAGCATAGTGTTCAAAATAAACTGACACAACAACATCTCCATCAATCACCAAAGAATACAGAACGAAAAATGAAGAACAATGAGCATCTATGTGAAATGTCAGCATGAATCAAGCATCTTCTTTTTTTAAGCGTATATGTTGTATTACAAGAGAATTAAAAGTGAAGAAGTAAATCAAAAGACTGAAATTGTCGATTTCAGACCATTCCTAACATTGCAGCAATGGCATTGCCAATCGAAAATGAATGAATGGACGGATTCAATGATTTTCATGGTGCAACGGCGTTAGTATTACTATTATTAAACAATAATATAACATAAACTGCATTAGCCTGCTCCAAAAAATAAAAGTTGCCCCTCATCCAAAAGGCCCGGGCAGTTTCAAAAAATATATTGGGTCTGGGAATTAGTTTTGTCGATTTTTTTAAATTTTCAAACATTTATTTGAATACCAAAATGAAATTACATTTCAATAAAAATATTGTCCATCGGAAGCGATGACCTTCTGCCACAATGTGGGCAATTGACGGATGCCTGCCTTAAAAAATTCCTCATCTTTTGAGGCTATAAATGCATCGAGCCAATTTTGGATTTCTTCAACTGAAGAGAACCGCTCTCCGTCCATATGGTTTTGCATCGATCGAAACAAATGGTAGTCGGAAGGAGCCAGGTCTGGGCTATACGGGGCGTGAGCCAAAACTTCCCATCCGCTATTTTCCAAGTAGTTTTTGACCGATTTCTCAATGTGTGGCCGAGCATTGTCATGTAGGAAAATCAATGTCTCTTTTCTGGTCTCCCATTTCGTGCGTTTTTCTTTGATTGCTTGTTTCAAACGTATCAATTGTTGTCGGTAGAAAGGCCCATCGATGGTTTGACCACTTCTCAGCAGCTCATAATACACCACTCCCTCCTCATCTCACCAAATAGACAGCATTACCTTGTCGCCGTGAATTTCTTGTTTTGGCTGTGATGTTGCTGGTTGGCCTTAACATACGATGCTTTGCGCTTGGGGTTATCGTAATGAATCCATTTTTCGTCACCAGTGACAATTCGATACAGAAAACCTCTTTTTTTGTGCCTTGCGAGCAGCATTTCGCAAGTC